AGAAGGTGAGAAACCTCAAGTTGTCGGTAACAAACTTTGAAAGAATCTCCTACTTACAAATCAATCTCGATATGAACCAAGTAGTAGGTGTTAATTTGGAATTAAGAGAAGTTCAGACCATTGCAAAGTGTTTACAATGTTCCATTTCTACTTAGCCTTTGACCTATTTAGGGATTCTATTGGGGGAAAATCTTAGAAAGAGTAGCTTTTGGTGTCCAATTATAGAGAAGTTTGAGAAGAGATTGGCAGCTTGGAAGAAGAATAACATTTACTTGGGGGGTCGAATCACCTTGATTAGAGCCACACTTGCTAGCCTACCAACCTATTTTTTGTCACTCTTTAGGATCCCACCTAGGGAAGCAAAGAAGTTGGAGAAGCTGATGAGAGATTTTCTTTGGGAATTGGAGTAGAGTAGGAAAGATCATCTAATCTGGTGGGAGGTGGTTTGTTGGAGAAAAGAAGAAGGGGATTTGTGCTTGGGGAACTTAATTCAAATGAATACAACTCTATTGTGGAAGTGGAATTGGAGGTGGCAACTAGGGAGAGAAAGGTTGTGGCATGAAGTGGTAGGAAGCATTCATGGTCGCTCAGAGATTGGGTGGGATGCAGGTGTATCTTGGCGGGCAACCTTGGTAACTTCTTAGAAGGCTATTCATAGTATTTTCCCTCAATTTCTCAACTTGTCAGGTATGATATTTGTGTTGGAAATACAATTCTTTTTTGGGCTTTGGATTGGTGACTTACCTTTGAATGACCTCTTCCCTTCTTTGTTCCCTATCTCTCAATACAAAAGAAAGGTTATTTCTTTTTTCTACTCCTCTTGGAAAAACCCCTTGGCACCAATAGTTTTCTTAGAACCCTTTGAACCAGATAAATAGGTTTGGTCACCTAAGACTAAAGGGTCTTTTTCTTGTGCTTTTCTTTAGGTCTCTTTTTTAGTTTCCCTCTCAATAGTTTTTTTCCTACAAAGGAACTTTGATGCAGGCCTATTTGCCCTAAGGTTTTGGCATTTTGTTGGGAAGTGTTTCATGGAAAACAAGCACCTTGGTAATTTACAAAAGTGAAGACCCTTCCTTTGTGTCTCCCCTAACAGGTGCATCCTTTGAAGGCCCAATGGTGAAGATTGCTACCACTTACTAATTTCCTATTCTTTCACTATAGAGTTGTGGAATTCACTATTTTTGTTGTTTGGACGCAAGTGGAACAAGCCAACTAAAGTAAGCATGCTTTTTTATCCTTCTACATTTTCCTCGTGCCAAAAGAGAGGAAAATTAATGTGGAGGTGTGCAAGAGCAGCATTGAGCTGGACTATTTGGGAAGAGGGAAATGCTAGAGTGTTTCATGAACATGAGAGAAGAACAAGGCAATCCAGTGGTTGAAATCCTCAAAACTATTCCTTCATTTCTCCTTTAATGACTTGTGGAGAAATTGGGATGTAGTGGCAAGTAGCTCTTCCCTAAAGGCTACAACAAGTGTAAGATGGGAACCTTCTCATGTAGGGGCTTTGAAGCTAAACTTTGATGGAAGTAATCAAGGCAACCCGAGTCCTTTTCGACTGGGAGGGGTTATAAGGGGTGAGGACGGAAATGTGGTACTTCTTTTCTTAGGCCCCCTATGTATTGGGGACTCCACTAAGGTAGAGTTGTTAGTCACAATTCAAGGTGTACATCAATGTTTTAAAAGGTGTGGGAGGTGTATGCCTAAAGGTGTGTGTCCAGGCTAAATGCTCCAAAAACACCCTAAGACATATGCCAGAGGCGCTAACACCTCTAAGGCATATGCCTTAGGTGCAAGAGGTGTATGCCTCATACGCTTTTTTCATGAGGGAATGAAATGTAAAGGAAAGAATGGGAATGGAAAGAAAAAGAGAGAAAGAGAAAAAAAAAAAAAAAAAGAGAAAAGGAAAGGGGAAAGAAAGTGGTCTACCCCTGGCCCCTTTGGCTAAGGGGCTTCGCCCCCTAGACCCCTACCCCTCTTTTCAATTAGTGCTATGCATCTTTATTCTTGTTAATATAAAATATTTTTATTAAAAATAAAGAAAAAATGAGATCCCTCCATCCTCTTCTTCCTTCTAACTCCCCTCCTCTTAGTGATTGGATTGGTGGGATGGGAAAGTATGGGATGCAGTGGGATGGGATGGGAAAGGGAAAATGGGTGGAAATTTTTCATGTTCCATTGTTTGGTTGCAAAGGGAAAATAGTGGGAAAACCAACCTTAGTAACAATTATAAATTAATTAATTAGTAGTATTTTTATTATTTTATATATTACTATTTAATTATTAATTATTAATATATTAAAGAAATAATTTTTTAATTAATTAATATTGATAAATATCTAATTAATTAATAATTAAGAATTAATATTTTACTAATATTTATTATGAAATAATTAATAATTTTATTTTATTATTAATTATTTTTAACTATTTCATTATTTTTAATAAATCATTAATTAGATTAATAATAAAATCATTATTTATTTATTCATTAATTACTTAACTAATTAATTACTAACTATTTTCTATTAATTAATAGTTAGTTAACAATACCTTTTTATTATTTAGTATTTTATTATTAATTATTTAAAATCCATAATTATTTAATTAATTATATTAATTACTTAATGTTTTATATTTTATTAGTATATATGTTATTATTAATATTATATTTCATTAATACTAATGACTTAATTAATAATTTTAAAATTTTAATATTAATTACACATAAATTATTAAATTAATTTTAATTGATAAATTATTTCTATTAATTTATTTTAATTAAATTATTCATTATAAAATAATTATTTAATTATTAATTAATTAGTAAATATTAAATATTTTGTTGTTAATTCTTAATTAATAATAATATTTTTATGATTTATTATTTTATTGTTAATTATTAATTTGATATTAATTAGTTAATTAATTATTAATATTTTCATTTTATTAATTTATATTTTATTTTWTGAATACTTATGAGTTGAGTAATAATTTTAATATTTTATTCTAAAAAGTAATTAATCATGAAATTATTTATTGATTAATATTTTTGTTAATTTTTTAATGTAAGATATTTATTATTTTTTAGTTAGATTATTTTATAATATATTATTAAATAATTAATAATTTATTTATGGGTCATGGATCACGAATTAACTCTTAAAAATACTACAAGGAAGGTGTTTTCTTTTTTGTTAAATAAGTTTCCCCTACATTCCCACTTGTTTCCCACCAAAATGGTGGGACTCCACATCCCAAGAATTGGGATCTATAATCCCACATTTTTCCCATCCCATCTCATATCATTGCACAAACCAAACATGGTAAGGGAGGAATATTCTAGAATATTTCATATTTTCCCTTGTCATCCCACAAACCAAACAGAGCCTTAAGGAGGCTTATGCCTCTTACATTCTAAAATATGCCTCATGCCTCTAGGTAGTGGAATGCCTTGCGTCACACCTCCGTATTTTAAAACATTGGTGTACACTTTGCTATTTAATTAGATGTGGTACAACTGTTAATTGAAGAAGATTCCAATGCAGTAGTAGGTTGGCTACAGAATCCTAAGTCTGCAATGTGGTGTTATAACAATGAAGCCAGGAGGTTCAAATGGTTAATAAGGGGTCTGATTGTAAGTGTACAATGGGTTGGGAGGTCAGCCAATGCTAGGCTGACTATCTAGCAAAGCAAGGGGTAGCCAAGGAACAGTTGTATCGGGCACAATTGTAGCTTGATTTTTGCCTTAGAGAGTATGCAGCTCACGCCTCTCAAAGTTTGCTTGTATCAGCTTTCACTTATTAAACTAAATTAATATAATGAATTACTTTACTTATCAAAAAAATAAAATAAAATAAAATTAACAATAATAACAGCAATATAAGTGCACACCCACAAGATAGAATTATTTGGACAGCAAATATCTTTTTATTTAATATTTGGACAGCAAATATAGAAAAAAATATTTGTGTCAAAAATCTAGAAGCCAAAATATTCTAAGACAACAAATTTTGTTAATGAACTAAGGCTATTGAAAACCTCTAGGCTTGTGGTTTGACTAGCGTTTTACTGGAAGAAACTACTAGAACCTTGTTAAAGTGTATTTAAAAGAATTCTTAATTACCAAAAAAAATGAAAAGAATTCTTATAACTATAAATATATTGAGAGGATAGACATGAATATGTTCCAGATTCCCTTCAAATTTAGTAAACGGTATCACTATTCATTATTTAAAAATTAAAAATTGGATTTATATTCTATACTTTATACTAGGGTTGGATACAAGTCGAGCATTTCACGAGCTATTCAAGCTTGGCTTGTGAAAAGCTCGATCGGTTCTGTCTAAATCGAACTTCAAGCCAAGATCGAGCCCAATATATAGGCTCGTTTGCTAATTAAGTCGAGCTTGAGCCTAATGAAGCTCAACTCATGAGGCTCACAAGCCTAATCGAGTTTATATTATATATTTATRTAATATTCTTACATTTTATATTTACAATAATAAATAATTTTAAAATTATTAATTTTAATATGTAAAATAACAATTAATTTTTTAATTCTTAAGAAGTTTGGCTCAAACTCCATCCCTACTTTATGCTCTTTCTTCCAACTGTTCAACTTTCAACATTCCAGGACCCCAACATATACATATGAGAATCCTTCTATTTCTTGTTTGCAAGAAACAACTGAGACATTTATTTATCAAAATAACAAAAAAGAAAGAAAGAACTGAGACATTTCTTTCTACAGATAAACCCTTTTTGTATGATCAAGTTATATAGAGTCAATACCTTAGACAAAAAAAGGAGATCATAGCTATATCTTTTATTGGCATATGGTGTTTTTGCCCTTTCTACTTTTCAGACTAGTCCTACATATCCCAGAAGAAAAACCAAAATGTGTACATTTAAATCACTTATGTATTGAGTACAACAAGGAGAAAACTAGGATTTTAATTCCATTAAATGGGATCAAGGTAAAAATGTTTCAAATTCAATACCTTTGATATGTGAACTCCAAGGCTTCTGTGGACACCGGAACATTTGATACATATAAATACTCCAAGGTTTGAAGACCTGATATCCACAAGTTGAAACAAGGCACAAATAATGAATAAATTCACATAAACCTGCTCTCTAAAAGATAAAGGTTCATAATCCTTGATAGATAATCTAGATGTTGATCATTGGATGGATTACTATTATGATCTTCAATCGTGAGATATTGCACAAGTGCACGGAACAACTAACGGTTGGTTAGTTGACTAATAAACATCCAACACATTACAATATAAAGCTACAAAAGTGGTTGAGAAGATAGACAAATGAATATATTTTGCTTATATATGCATATGCATAAATAAATACATGTCTCTCTCTCTCTGTTATATATGTTGCATGTGAAAATTTTTTCTTCATATTAATTACTTGAATTTTAGATATACCATAGTTAAGATAGAAATTGAAAATTAACAAAAGTAACAAYATRATTAAAAATAAAMTTAAMTGCTTGTAGCAAATAACAATTATTATTATTATTATTATTATTATTATTATTATTATTATTATTATTATTATTATTATTATTATTATTATTAAAATTTGTATTCCNAATAACAATTATTATTATTATTATTATTATTATTATTATTATTATTATTATTATTATTATTATTATTATTATTATTAAAATTTGTATTCCATTTCTATCATAAACAAAAGTGACTTTTATTTTAAAAATTATTTTTATTTAATATGATGAATATATAACATTAGAAATATTCTCAAATGTTTTTGACAAAATTCTGTATATTTTCAATTTTTGTGTTCTATCATTTTTTTAAATATTTATTATTCAATTATGACAATATGAGTTTTTTTGAAAAGTTGGATCATTGATCCACCATCTAGATAAGAAAATATCTTTTCTTTTGGATTAGTTTTAAATTAGAGAAAATTATAGTCAGAGACGGTTGTACATTTAAAATTAGGCTATATGTTGGTCCAAAAACCAACAAAACACTAACAACCATCTCTACATTTCAAATTATAAAACCCCCAGCCATGTCACCGGAGGCTTATGTGGCTATTGCCAACATGGGACTCTTAATCCATGTTGGACACAACAAAAAGTTTATACCAAAATTGCCCTTTAATGCTGGGTGATTGGAAAATAAAATAGGGTTTTTTAGTTTCTCTCTCTCTCCCTCTCTCTATCTCTCAATCTCCCTTCCGCTCTTTCACTCTCATAGTCATCTCTCTTCTCAACAACTGTGTGATTTGAAAATAAATAAAAATGGTTTTAGTTTTTGTATTTACGTTCTCTCTATCAATTTCTCTCATTCTCTCTCTACCTATCATTCTCCCTCAATCTCTCTCATTCTCTTTCTCAATCAATCTCTCTTTCTCCCTCAATTTCTATCATTCTCCCTCAGTTTCTCTCCCACTCCCTCTCTTGTTCTTTTTTTTATTTTCTTACACACTTATATGGTACTAATCATACCATATAAAGGAACATGAGATCAACTTGGTATGGTTCAAAAATCATTACACCAATTTGATAAAAATTCACAAGAAACTCTTGGCTATGCAATTTACACAAACTTGATAGAAATTTATAATTTGATTGTACAAATGGTTGGTCCCTTTCGTTCTTTTATATGATTTGATTAATATTGTAAAAGTTTGTAAGAAAAAATTAAAAAAAAAAAGAATGAGAGAAAGACTGAGGATGAATGATAGAGATTGAGGGAGAAGGAGATATTGACCGAGGAGTATGGGAGAAGAATGAGAGAGGTTGAGAGAGAAAGATAGAGAGAGTGAGAGAGAGAATGGGATAGAAACAAAGGTTTTGATTTGGCTACAGACCGAAGCTGAGAGAGTGGGAGAGACAAAGGGAGTAGGAGGTCGAGAGATGACTGTGATAGTGAGAGAGATAAGGGAGGGAGATTGAGAGACAGATGGAGCGGGAGCGGGAGAGAAATTGAAAACCGATTTACGGTATAGGCTTTTTATTGTGTCCAACATGAATTAAGAGTCCCATGTTGGCAACAACCACATAAGCCTCTGATGGCGGCATGGCAGGGGTTTTTATAATTTGAAATGTAAAGCTAGTTGTCAGAGTTTTGTTAGTTTCTGGGCCAAGTTGCAACCTAATTTTAAATGCACAATCGGATTTGACTATAATTTTCCCTTTAAATTATATATTCCATTTACATTATATAAATAATGTTTACTTATCACACTTAATTTTTGTTTGTCTATAATGTCATTTGATCCAAACCACTAACCCACTACTTAAAAAAAGAAAAATAGTTTGATTTCTAGGTTGACATTAAATTTTGTATTACATTTCTATCATTGATAAAACTATTTCTTATGTATAATACTTATTTTTGTTCAATATAATGAATGCATACTATTAGAGATGTACCCAATATTTTATTTTTTTATAAATATATAACATTAAATATGTGCCCAAAATTTTCTCTATTTTTTTTATTTTGTGTTCTTTGTATTTTCTATTTTTAAAAAATTTATTATTTGACTAAGGCATAATTTCATTTCTAGGTAAACTTTAAATTTGGCAATCCATTTTCATCAGTAATAAAAATACTTCTTACATTTCATACTTATTTATTTTAATCTTTTATTATTTCATTATGGCATTATTTATTTATCCATTTGACCCCAAATGGTCGAATTGATTGCCCACCACCGGGAGGGAAGAAAATTGTTTTATTTTCAAATTACTTATTAAAATATTTATTTTTATACTATTAAAATTAATATTGTGGATTTGATTACAAGAATTTAATGATGATAAAAATATATCTTAAATATAAGATTTAATGAGAGAATAGGAAAATATTTTTATTTCCAATTGGTTTTAAATTTTACATTCCATTTCTATTATTAATAAAAAATTCTTATTTATCATACTTATTATTGTTTAATATGTATGTTAAACCATTTATTTTTTAATTTATATTTTTTTCATTTTATTTATTTTTTATTTTATTATTGAATCGTGACAACATGGCTTGACCCATTTGATCCAAAAATGGTTTAATTTCTTACCACCACCTAAATGAAAACACTATTTTTTTATGTAAATTTTAAAAGTATAAGTTTTTATGTTATTGGAATTATTAATTTTTTAAGTGTGAATTTAATTAATAGAACTTAATAATGAGAAGAAATAAAAAAAAATGATTTAAATATATGATTAAATGAACATGAATGCAAGTTAACAACTTAAATGTTGGATTTAATAAGAGGGAATTGAATGCATTGAATATGTCTTTTCTTGCAAACAATCCATATCAAGTACTTACACCCATTTAGGATCTGGAGTGCCACAATCTGCACATATCTTATTGCCTGGTTGGTTCATCAAATCCTCCAATCTTTCTAGTGGACCTGACATTTTAAAATACTGAAATTAAGACAAAATCATTAAGCCATATAATACAAGTAGTAGAGATAGAGGATCCATTAGTTAAGCTCTTCCCTTATGCAGCCTTATTCCCTTTAGGGGTCTCAAATGGGGTGTCAATTTTTTTCATTAAATTTCTGTGTTTTAAGCTTGGAACAATGATTTTGTATTGTATTTCTTTTTTATGAATTGTTTTCTCTAACAACCCTTGAACTTTGCCCAAAAAAAAACACTTTAGATCCTAAAGAATTAAAAGGGCCATTTTTTCCCACAAACTATGATGGAAATACCACTTTAAGGAAATACAATGGATCCCTTAAACAAAGAAAAGTTAATTAAGCAAATTAAGTAAAAGGGACATTACTTATCCATCACTACTCAAGTTTGAAAGGGCCACCTTAATAAAGTTAGTTAAGCAAATTATTTTAGGGTCTATAATGGTATGAGGTAAATTAAGTAAATTACACTAATTAAGATAGTTAAGTAAATTAAGCCAATTAGACAAGGTTTTAAAAATTGACCCAAAAATGGAACCACTTTGACCACTAGTCTCTGAGTCAACGGTTTGATCGTTTGGTCCAAACAAATAAGCTCGTGACATTTTGTAAAATATAAAATAAAAAATTAAAATAATTAAAATAAAAAATGACCTGAAAACCATTTCACCAGGTCAAACAGATTAGTAATTCAATCGTTCGGATCAACAATTTGTGGACCAAGTCTTTGGAAAATTTTGGGCCAAGTATAATATGGAATTGAATGGCTGACTAGTTCATGGGCCAAATGGTTCGACTACCCAAGTTAACGATGATTTTAAAACCATGCAATTAAGTGAATTAATTAATTGATTAAGTAAATTAAGCTAATTAACTAAGTAAATTAAGTCAACTAAGTGGATGAACTATTTGATTAAGTTAATTAGGTAAATTAAGCTAAGTAAATAGAGTAATTAAATTAAATAAATTACACTAATTAAGATAATTAAGTAAATTAAGCCAGCTATGTAAATTAAGCAACTGAATAGGACAGTCCAATGCATAAGGCTCCCACCAATGCATGGTCTAGGAGGGAAAAATGTACATAGCCTTACTATTATACAAATAGAGAGACTATTTCCAAGATTTAAACCCTGTCACTCAAATGCAATTGAATAAGCAAATTAAATTAATTAGGGAAACAAAGTTAATTAAGTAAATTAAATAAACAAATCTAATCAATCTAAATAAGTAAATTAAGGCAATTAAGTGAATTAACTGGTTTATTAACTAAACTAACCTAAACAAATAGAGCAATTAAATTAAATAAACTACACTAATTAAGATAACTAAGTAAATTAAGTCGAGTAAATAGAGTAATTAAATAATCAAAGCTAGTAAGTAAATTAAGTTAATGTTAATTAAGTAAATTATTATCGAGTTACTAAGATAATTAAGTTAATTAAGTAAAGTAAGTTATTGTTAATTTACTATTAGTTAAGATAATTAAGTTAGTGTTTAAGTAATAATGCACTCTTAATCATTGTTAATTATTTACTTTTAAATCAATTATTGTTAATTTAGTTACTCTGGTAATTAAGTTAGTGTATAAGATCAGGCCATATTCTCCAAATTGTGATTGAATATTTTATTCCAGTTTGAATTGGAGGCTGCTTCAATCAGTACAAACAAAAACCTATTTCTCTGGAAATTTGCAAATCAGGTTGGTTTTTCATAGTTCAGCACCATCTGACTCATCAATCAAGTTGGTAATCCATTCAGAATTGAAGGGTTTTGATCCTTTTCATAGTTCGAAAGGCCTGAAAGTTGCTATTTTTTGAAGATAAATAAAGAAAATTTTATTGCTAAAAAGAAGAAAATACATAATAACTAGGTGACAAGAATACAAGTGAAGCAAAACATAAACCACAAAAAACAAAACTTTCAGAAACAACAAACAACAGACACCAGAACTCCTTTTATGAATTCAGAGAAGTCCAGAAATCAGCACCAAAGTCCTCTTTCTTCAGCCCATGAAACTCTGGAAGCAGAAGAAACCAACCAATAACTATCGAACTGATGACAGCCACCACCACTTCCATCCTTTTCTTTTTCTTCCTTAAAAATTCTTCTGTTTCTTTCCTTCTATATCTCCCAACAAACAATAAAGGGAATACAGGTCAATAAAATCTTAGTCTTAATACCCCCTTGGATTCTTGGACCACAACTAAAAATTTCAGTCGGATCTGACATAGAGCACCTATCCACCTTGAATAGCTTGAAAAAGTAGGACCAAACTGGAGTTGTAAAACTAGATTGAAGCAATAGGTGAATAACATCTTCCTCTCCAGCAAAAGACAGCACACATCTACTTGGAAACCGATAACCTCTGAACTTTAAGTTGTCCTAAGTAAATATACAACCTCTAGCAATCAGCCAAGCAAAGGCTTCAGCCCCTGGTGGCACTGGTTTCCCCCAAACAACCCTAACTGGATCAGCCTCCACCTGATTTCTAATCAAAGCCGAATATATTGATTTGACTGTGAACTTCCCATCCTTACACTCTTTCTATAATCTGATATCTGTAGTTCAGGGATTGATCTCCAAGGCCTGAAGCTTTGCCAACAGCTCCAAACACTCCACCATCTCCCAGTCGAAAAGAGAACTTCTAAAATTTGGATTCCAAACCATAGAACCATTAATTAATTTATAGCATTCTGAAACCCAGGTTGTATAATCTTGGGCATATTTCACAGAATTTATCGCCTTCCATCTTTCTAATGGCTCCCAAATCTCTTCCTCCTCAAAATCTCTCTCCAACCACTCCCTAACCCCTTCCTCCACTTTTTCTTTTGTAGTGTTGAGATATTCTTACTACTGTTCTGATTAAAATTACTTTAGAACTACTTCTTTGATTCATTTATGGACTTCGGATTCACTCTTGTTCTCTTTTTGGAATGCAACTTTTGAATACCTTGCTATTTGGACTTGTTCCTTAGAGAATTTTTCTTCTTCAATCATTGGTACAGTTTCTCAGTGTGTAGGAAGATTCCAGATTCTTTTTTACTTGGAAAAATGTGATTTTTGTCCAGTTGTGGACTCAGCTCCATTACTATTACAGTGTTGACCTTTGAATTGTTTGAAAAATGGCTAAAAAGATGGATGTTATTCTTGTAAAGTTCAATGGAATTAACTACAACATGTGGAAGTTCCACTTTGACTTCTTTGTGATTTAGCACTATTCTTGTAACCAAATAAGGTCAAAGTGTTTATCACAAATAAAGAACTAATAGAGAAAGAAGAGAGCCATACAAGGCACAAGCCTAACAAAAAGAAGCTTTTAAAGGAAGAAACTCCCCCCCCCCCCCCCCAAGTTAGCTTGCCCAACAAACCACTTGCGAAAAGAAGCTATATTAGAGTAAACCTGCCCTAAACAATTACTAACATAAAGCCAAACGAAGGGGAATTACTAGAAGATAAGTCCTTGAAATAAGGAATGTCAAATGCAGCCTAAGACCTGTTCCCAAACATAACCCCCTAACATGCAAAATTACAAAAATACCCTTGCTGTCTAGAAATGTAAGAAAACCAAATAAGTCTTGTCCAATAGCAAACTCAACCACACAAAGAGCATCTTAAGGTGGATTGGACATAAATGTCAGGCAACTCTTCAACGTTTGCCAAGTTTGAGAATCTACTTGTACTTTTTTGTAGCAAGATATATTTTTAAGAGGACAAATGCCATCACAAATCAATTATTCTACAAATCCAAATCAGAAATTCAGAAATAACCCCCCCACCCCCATGTCTTAATAAGAAATCTGAAATAGTGTGCTTCACTACATTCCCCTCGATAACTAAGAACTCCATGATAAATTTTTGTTTTATCTCGCAATTGTCAGTTTCGCATGTCACAACCAAGTTGCAAACCACTAACCCAACTTCAATTATCTCTTCTCTTTCATAATGATCTCAAGAATTGAATGTTCATCATCTCCCTATAACTATAGACACAATTGCAGTCTTTATCCACAAATCATCAAAATGGAGGAAAAACAACAAAACTCGATTTTTTTTCTTAAAGAATTATAATTCATGCAGAGAAGATGAAGAAGAAAATGAAAAAAAAAATACCTTGATGATCTTTGTGATCGGTTTTTTCTTCAGGGGTTGTCATCGGGAACACTTGATCTTTCAGATTGGTTTTTTCTTCGGGGGTCATCATGTGGGACACTCGATCTTTCGAACGACCTTTGTTATCATTTTTATCTTCGTGATTCGTCACATGGAACACTCGATCTTTCCGACGATCTTTGGCATCAATTTTCTCTTCCGAGGTCGTCACGTGGAACACTCGATCTTTCCGACGACCTTTGGCATCATTTTTTTCTTCAGGGGTCGTCATGTGGGGCACTCGATCTTTCGAACAATGTTTGGCATCATTTTTTTCTTCGGGGGTCGTCACATGGAACCATCGATCTTTCCGACGATCTTTGGCATCAATTCTTTCTTCGGAGGCCATCACATGGGACACTCGATCTTTCGGACGATCTTTGGCATCAATTTCAATTTTTTCTTCGGGGATCGTCACATGGAACCCTCGATCTTTCCGATGATCTTTGGCATCAATTTTTTCTTTGGAGGCCATCACGTGAGACACTTGATCTTTCGAATGATCTTTGGCATCAATTTTTTCTTCAAGGGTCGTCACATGGAACCCTCGATCTTTCCGACGATCTTTAGCATCAATTTTTTCTTCAATGGGCATTATGTGGAACACTCGATCCTTCGGACGATCTTTGGCATCAATTTTTTCTTCGGGGGTCGTCATGTGGAACCCTCGATCTTTCCGACGATCTTTGGCATCAATTTTTTCTTCGGGGGTCATCATGTGGAACAATCGATCTTTCCAACGATCTTTGGAATCAATTTTTTCTTCGGGGGTCGTCTTGTGGAACATTCGATCTTTGGGACGATCTTTGGCATCATTTTTTTCTTCGGGGGTTGCCATGTGGAAGTGGAACTTTCGATCTTTGGAACGATCTTTCGCATCAATTTTTTCTTCGGGGATCGTCATGTGCAACAATCGATCTTTCCAACGATCTTTGTGATCAATTTTTTCTTCGGGGGTCGTCATCTGAAACAGTCGATCTTTCCAACGATCTTTGGGATCAGTTTTTTCTTCGGGGGTTGTCTCATGGAACACTCGATCTTTCGGATCGGTTTGTTCTTTCGGGATCGTCATCTGGAACACTTGATCTTTAGGATCGGTTGTTTCTTCTGGGGTCGTCATGTGGAACACTTGATCTTTCAAACGATCTTTGGGATCAGTTTCTTCTTCCAAGGTCGTCATGTGGAACACTTGATCTTTCAGACGATCTTTTGGATCGGTTTCTTCTTCCAGGGTCATCATGAGGAACACTTGATCTTTCAGATGATCCTTGGGATCGATCTTTTCTTCTGATGTCGTCATCTGGAGCACTCGATCTTTCGAAAGATCTTTGGGGTCGATTTTTTCTTCAGGGGTCGTCATTTGGAGCACTCAATCTTTCAGACCCAGATCATCAAACACCAGTGCAACCTGTAATGAATCATATCTAGAACACTCGACCATTTAGAACACCCAATCTTCTAGACTCAAATTATGAAACACCACAATAAACTGAAACAAATTGTCTTCCCAACTTCTTCACTGCATTAACATCATCATGAAATAATTGAGAAAAATTATAAGGTCCATTTGTATGCATAAATAAAGAAAACATAGAAATCATAATGATTAAAACTTAAAAGGAAAACATAGAAACTATAACGATTAAAACTTAAAAGGAAAACATAGAAATTATAACGATTAAAACTTAAAAGGAAAACATAGAAGCAACACAAAAATAGATTACAATCAAAACTAAGGAAAATGAGAACAATTAAAACGAGCCCCTGCATGTAGAAGAACACGTCAGTTTGCCAATAATGTTCATAGAAATTAGAAACAAAACTAAGAAACTGATGAACAAAAGGATGTTAAAAAATGGAATTGAACCTAGAAGAAAAGTGTTGGATTCAAGGAAGATTTTAACTTAGAAAAATTTCTCAAAAATCATAAAGAAAATGTGAGATCAGAAGAGCCTGTACCTGTCTTTTTCATCGTCTAAAAAAATTTTAAATTTCATTTTTGTTGATTTTCTTCCATTAATTTGCCAAACAAAATGTGAATGACAACTATAAGAAAAGTGTTGGATTCATGGATGATTTTATCTTACAAAATTTTCACAAAAATCATAAAGAAAATGTGAGATCAGAAAAGCTTGTACCTGGATTTTTCGTCGTCTAAAAAATTTTTAAATTTCATTTTTGTTGATTTTCTTTCATTAATTTACCAAACAAAATATGAATGGCAACGAGGTCAAAGCGGAGATTCGGAGTGGAAAAGGAATATGTGGTTCTTCCATTATAACGTATATATTATCATCAATATCATATATGTAATACAACATCAATTGATAATATGATATGAAAATATCATGATATTATTACCTATAATCAATTGAAATTTTAAATAAAGTTATAATATTATATTAATATAACAATATATCATAACTATATTATCATATCATAATAACAATATCGTATATGATATTATAATTAATGGATATGGTTAATATTAATATATTATATTCATATTGCATTATCATACATAATATAGTAATAGTTGATTGATAATAATTAATGATACCATTAATTGTTATTCAATTATAATGACAAGTATATAAATATATGGTTATTACTAACAATTATAATATGGGTTATATTATATTTTTATCCATAATAATAATATTAGTATAATATCATATATACTAATTACATTATAATAAAAATGCATTGCACTTTGTTAATTGATATATTATGCAACAGTTAAATATAATTATAATAACAATAATAATGAAAATACTATTTTAATAATTTTTATTATTTAATAATAATACATATCTAAATATGGCTTTTTGCAATAATATTCAATAGAAGCAATGGGCTAGTTCTATGGAGGCAAATCATTGTTTTATTATATATGGCTGGGTTAACCTGATAAAAATATTACTGTTTATTTCTATAAATCGTGTGATTATTAGTATGTGACTAATGTTTGATATCTTATTAATGGTCAATTGTATATCATAGCACAATGTGTTGAGTTTAATATACTATCTCATATAACAACTTAATAGTATCCAATAATATGATAGAATATCAAACTATATTACAATGTCTATTATCATGAGATAACAGATATCAATTTTTATATAATCTTAACGTGGGTTTACTAAATATAATATACAACTAATGATATAATAACATACAAATTGTGCAAACCTTATTAATGTTTATTGAAAAATTATCATATTATATTAATATTGTCAATATAATTATAATCATATCAACGATTATTATTAGAGGTGTAAATCGGGTTGCATCAGCCCAGCCTGATGGTCACGAGTCGTGCCACGACACGGCACAATTGTAAGGACCATTGTAGAATTCAAAAATTGCAACCCCCCATAGCATCTTACCTGTGGATTTGGCATCAATCCTTGATTAGGATTCATCCCACCTGTACAGTGGGGATAAGAATTCTGAGATGGACTAAATAATCATTCTCCTTAAATATTATTGCAATAATTATTATAGAGATGTACAGACAGGCCTAATGCAAAATTCTAAATTCTACTGCAACTATATAAACATTCAAAACTTCAAAAACCCACACCCTATACACCCATATCCGCCTGTGAATTGGCATCAATTCCAACCTAGCACCAACCCCAACTGTATTTTAGGCCTATAAATTCTGACCCTAGGCTAAATGGTCACTCCCTAATTATTAATAACCAAACATATTATAAAATACATATATCATCAATGGACATATGATGTGTCCACATTGATTATCCTATATTTTAATCAAATATAATATTATACGATGTGTTAATAATATCATCATTAATGATTATTTATGATATCATTGTCACATCTTATAATGATTATGATAACTAACCATTATATATTAATATGTTATACTAAATTACCATATATGATATCAATATATCATATTATACACTACATATTTGGTATAAAAAGGATAATATCATTATAAGCATAATATAAGTATGATAATTATATTAGTATGAATTATGATAATATTATACATAAATATATATTACTATTATAATATTATAACTAGTATATTGTAACTATGATAATATGGTTATTAAATTATATCAATAACCATATCAATTGGAATAATAAAATATTATTAATAAATCAATTGGATAATAATATAACTCATTAATAATTAACTATTACCCATATAATATAGAATATTTTAATAATATTGAGTATGATAATGCTATTATCATATCATAATATCATATCATAACATGTAATATGGCTATATTAGTAACACTACGTGGATATAGTATTATAATTTTATAATTTATAATATAATCATAGTTTTCAAGGCGAACCTAAGCGACAGGAGAGCTTAGTTGCTTGGTCGCCTAAGTATCGCCTAATATTTAAAAGAAAAATAAAATAAAAATAGGATGAACTCTAAAGACATATAGCTTAGAGCTCTCTAAATAAGAACAAAACATCATGCCTTCTGTGATCGATTTGTCTTTCTTCTTCAAAGACATACATCTTAGAACTTGACGATGATAGATTTTAAACTCATCTTCGAATATCACATCTATATCTGTCAAAACTCACCTTCCGATCTTCGTATATTTTATTTATCATAAACCTTAAAAAGATAAGAAATTAATAAAAAATTATTATAATATAAAAGAAATAAAAATAATGATTCAGTGCATCACCTCTATATTTATATAATAGACTTAAAATATAAAAAAAATATTAAATATGAAAAAATCATATGTTACAATACATCAAATGGCGTTTAGGCAACAAAAATTTCAAAAAGCGCTTATATCACCTTAACAACTATGAATATAATATTATAAAAATATGACATACCAAAGTGTTGATATTATTGATTATAATAGTAACACATATTAATAATTAATATAATATCACATACCAAAATATATGGTATTATCATATCGCATACCATAATATAACTATTATTATTTTAATAATATTCATATAACTATAATTATACTACTTATATGACCAATAATTAGTAATATACCTATATAACCAATAGGATAATATTATACATTATACTATTGGTATCATAATATATGTGAGTATTGTTATAGTATAATTATATGATATATATCATATGGTTATACATTGTAGTGTTATCATGTTTTGCATAATATATATTAGTTAAAATATCCTAAGTTCGTATGATTATAGTATATTAATATTATTATGATAATATGAAATATTTCATATTATCAACATTGATAACAAGATATAATATTATTATATCATAATATGGTGCATTATAATAATCCTACATTATTATAATATTAGTAGTAATATTGGTACTATATCATATCAATATTATAGTATAATATTAATTATTGATTATCAACATTAAAATATTATTATAGCTAATACAAGGATAGTTATCATAATAACTATTATTACTATATCCCATATCAATATGTTAATAACATTATTAGTATCGTAATATTAATATTTTTATAATATTATAATATTCATATTATAATAATATGTTATTATACTAATGATAATTTGATACTATTATATAGTAAGATATGATATAATGCTATTACACATCCATTATACTATCGATAATAGTTATTATATCATATCAATTGGGAGAATATGTTATATATTGTTAATATATGATAATATTACAATATCCCAATATACTATCATTATCCATAGTATGATATCATATATCAATATTATGCATTGATATCAAGCCCAATATAATATTATGGTGTATTACAATATCGTAAATGATATGAGATAACCATATTATGAATATTAAGGATTTTGCAATTAAGACCAATAGTATTATATTAGTAATATTTTTTTATTGCATATTATCATATAATATCATGGTAATATTATGGTTATTATAATATGAACACATCTACTTATATACTTAAAGCATATGGCTTAGTCCCCTGTGCTCGACATGTGTAATAAGCGTGCACCAGATCCAAAGGAAATAATCTTTTTTTCTGGTAATAAGCAAGGCCGAATCACAAGCCTTTTTACAACTTGACACATATGTCTAATAAACAAAAACTCTCTACCAGTCTCAGCTCTCCCCCTCTCTCTTGCAAACCTCTTAGGTTTCTTACAAGTTACGATGACACGTATGTCTGACAGACATAGTATCTGACAAATACAAAGACTCTTTCCCAGTCTCGGCTCTCCCCCTTCTCTCAAATCCTCTCTTGCAAAACTCTTACATTTCTTACAAATTACAACAGCCAGAGCCTCTTACAATTACAACAGCCAGAGTCTCTCAATCTCTCCCAATCTCGGATCTCCCCCTCTATCTTACAAACCTCTTAAGCTACACAGTCTCTG